TCGGCAGCACCGCCTTCAGCAACTGGTGGCTGGGCTTCTGGCTGGACAAGGCCTCGGAGGTGAGTGGCCCTCGGGCCCCAGCAGTGCCGTGGGGTGGGTGGCCTGCCCCTCTGCCAAGGTTACATTTGGGCACAGTCCTGTTGCCGTGACAACCAGTGAGGCGGCACTGGGGGATGCGGGCAGAGAGAGGCGTGGCAGCCCCTGGAGTCGGCTGTTCCCAGGGGAGCAGCGGGGAGGCCGCTCTGTGCCGGAGAGCCGGCCCTGCAGCCCCTCCCAGGCCTGGCGCTCTCGAGAGCCTCTCCCTGGAGAGCCGGGGGGGGAGGGGGGGGGGGGGATCAGGGGCAGGCAGCGAAATCAGACCCGTGTCTGCCCGTCCCCCACATGTAGGGCCCAGCCGAAGGCACCATGAGGCCTCTCCTTTGTTAGCCCCCGGGGGTGCGCTTGCCTTGAGGTGTGCCCGGCCCCCCTGGCTTACACCCACCGGCGCTGTCCCCCGCAGAGTGGCCTTTGGAGAAAGATGCTCCTTTGCTCCCCAAAGGCAGGCGTGCCTTTTGCACACGGCTCGCAGGGAAGCGGGACAGCCAGTGTCTCCGGAGGGAGAGATGGACGGCCTCTCCCCAGAACTATTGCCAACGTGGGGCTCTCCCTGGCGGATGGAGCCACGCGGGCTCCTGGCCACGCACCAGGGACTTGAGGACGGACAGAGGCCTGAGCACAGGAAGGGGAGGGGCCTGGCGCTGGCCTACCACACCGGACCCGGACCCGCCTCCCCAAGGCCTGCTGGCTCCTGCCGGGCAGCTGCGAGGCGGGCACATGTCCTTGCTCCTGTCCCCCTCCTGGCCTGGCGTCACCTCCGGCGTCCTGAGGCTCAGCTGGCTTCTGGGACAGCCGCCCTGAGCCTGCCTGGCTGGTCTCCTCTGCCTTCCCACAGACCGTGCCCAGCCTCCTAAGTCAGGTGCCCCTCGGGGTCCTGGGGACCCGTGCAAAGCACAGGCACCCCCAAAGGGCACGGACTCGGTTTCACCCCGACTCACTCTCCACAGTAACAGCCTCTCTTTCATCCCCGTTTTCTGGGAGACGCCCACTCCCCTGGCCGCTCACCGCTGCTCGGTGATTTTCTTCTTGCTTTTCTCCAAAGATGACCTGTGGGCCGCAGACCAGCAACGGCCCGTGTGAGATTGGCACTGTGCTGGCTGACACCGGGCACGGCGTGTACCAGTGGGTGTACGCAAGCAGCATGGCGTCCGTGCTGGCGTTCGGCATCACCAAGGGCTTCACCTTCACCAAGACCACCCTGATGGCGTCCTCCTCGCTGCACGACCGCATGTTTGACAAGGTGCGCCCGGGGCCCCCACGTAACCGCGGGGTCAGCCATGGGCTCACTGAGCGCCGGCAGACCCGGGCGCTGTGCTGGGCTCAGGGAACTCGGGGTGGGGGGTCATGGGCCCGCGGTCAGGCTGGGGGTGCCCAGGGAGGATCCCCGAGGAGGCCGCACTGAGCAGACATGAGCGGGCCCGAAGGCGCCTCCTGCTCCAAAGAGCCCGGCCCATCGAGGGCCCCAGGAAGGGCCTGGCTGGGGCAAGTTTAAGGGGAACAGCTTCCTGTGCCCCCCAGCACAAGATCCCTCCTTCCTCCAAAGCGGCCTCAAGCTGCGCCGGGTTTGGAGGAGAGCTGTGGGCACACGGAGGCCACGGAAGGGGGCACCCTCCCCTGCCCAGCACGCCTCCACCTCATGTGGGCCCTGGAAGGAGGGTGGGGCCCCGCGCTCACCACCCCAGCCCAGCAGGGGGCGAGGTGTGACAGACACGCCCCCTGAGCCCCGGACTCCCCCGGCGGCGCCCCCAGATCTCGCAGAGCCCGATGAGCTTCTTCGACATGACGCCCAGCGGCCGGCTCATGAACCAGTTCTCCAAGGACATGGACGAGCTGGACGTGAGGCTGCCCTTCCACACGGAGAGCTTCCTGCAGCAGATCGCCCTCGTGGCCTTCATCCTCGTGGTCCTGGCCGCCGTGTTCCCCGCCGTCCTCCTGGTGCTGGCCGGCCTCGCCGTGGGCTTCCTGGTGCTTCTATGGTAGGTGGAGGCGCCGCGTTACGAGGAGGAGCACGCCGACCACTCAGGTCTGGTCCTGCCACACAGTGACCGGCCGTCGCGGGCCGCAGTGCTGCGTCCTGTGTCCTGGAGCCCACACCCAGGGCAGCTGCGTCCCGTGGAGGGTTCAGTTTTAAAGTTGGCTCCTGCCCGGCTGGCGCGGCTCAGCGGTTGAGCATCGACCTATGAACCAGGAGGTCACAGTTCCATTCCCGGTCTGGGCACAGGCCCAGGTTGTGGGCTCCATCCGTGTGGGGCGTGCAGGGGGCAGCCGGTCCATGACTCTCTTATCATGGATGTTTCTCTCCCTTCCTCTCTGAAATCAATTTAAAAATATATAAAAAGTCAAGCCGGCTCCCAAGGCCACCAGGAGGTTTGCTCAGCACAGCCTTCGCCGCCGCCTTCAGAAGCCACACACCGGCTGGCGCACGGCGCTTCCTCCCTAATTGGGAAAGATCCCTTTCCCTCGCGCCCGCTGGCGGCTATATTTAGAGGCTGCGCCGTAGGAAAGATGCTTCTCAAAGACTAAGCGACATCCCTCGTGCGGCGAGCCTCACACCGAGGAGCACACAGAACTGAGACCACGGAGGATGGCTCTCATTTCTGGACCCACACTTACAAGAGCCCCCCCACACACACACACACAGGGCGGCCCCTCCTGGAGAAGGGGGGAATCCGGGTGGGTTGAGGGGAGCCCTGAGCCGCCCTCTGCCCTCTGCTCTCCCTGCAGCGTCTTCTACAGAGGGGTCCAGGAGATCAAGAAGGTGGAGAATGTGAGCCGCTCCCCCTGGTTCTCACACATCACCTCGTCCATGCAAGGCCTGGGCATCATCCACGCCTACGACAGGCGGGAGGACTGCATCACCAAGTGAGTCCTGACCCCTGGCGGGAGGTCACAGCCACGCACCACACAGTGGGCCTCCCAGTGTCTGTCCGAGAAGCTGTTCCCGACTCCCGACAAACGGAACAGGCCCGAGACCTGTGCCTTCAAGGCCGCCGCGAGGCTCCGAGGGGCGGAGCCCTGCGTGGCTGACGGGTCTCCTCTCTTTCAACACCCTCTGGTCTGTCGTGAACTTTCTGGAGCCCTTTCTGGGAGAAGCACTGCTTCTGCCAAGAGACAGAAATGCTAACCACGCATGAGCCAGAAGCGTGGGGTCAGACTCCACTTTGATCCCCGCCAGGGATTCTGCGTCTGCAAACCTACCCACCCCCACAGCTGAGACCCCGGGTGATGACGGCCAAGTCCCTGAAGCTGTCCGTGGAGTTTGTAGGTTGTATAGCGACACCACAGAAACACCATGGTGTCTGCAAGCATCTTTGGCCTAAGCTCTGGGGACCGGCAGGAGGAGGGGCCGCAGGACCCCGCCCGGCTGGTCAGAGGGGCCTCGGAAGAGAACCCCTGAGCAGCCTTAGGACAGGAGGGAGCAGCAGAGCCACAGGAGGGGCCGT